CCTGAATTAAATCCTGAGGAAACATTGGACAAACCCAAACTGAGGCACATTCTACAACATAAGTGGACAATTACCTTCAAAAAATGTTAATATCATGAAAGCAAAGGAAGTCGGAGGCTGCCCCAAATTAAAGGGGAATACTGAGATGGGACAATCAATTAAATACATGATCCTGGATGGAAACAAATTGTTGTCATGGGCAATATCTGGACAGCTGACAAAATTGAATCATGACTTCTGATTAGATAATAGTATTGTATCAATGTACAAGAGTCATATCAATGTTAATTTTCCTGTACAGTACTTGATAAATGTACCATGGTTAAGAAGGAACATGTCTTTATCTATAGAAGATAAAGACTTTAATATTTGGGAGTAAGAAGGCATGGATGGATGGATGCAACTTACTGTCAAATGGTTCAGAAAAGAAATTACATATACATACATGTGGTGAGAGTGTGGGGGAGGGAGAGGGTGAGAAAAGAAAATGAATGAGGCAAAATTGAACAGTTGGTGAATCTGGGTAAATGGTGTATAGGATTCCTTGTTCTATTCTTTAACTTTTCTATAAGTTTGGAATTGTTTCTAAATAGAAAGTTTAAGGAAAAATATGTTTTACCAATGTGTTCGGAACAAAGAGGTATCTCACAGATATTCTAATTTGCATTTGCCTCATCACTAGTGATGTTGAGTGTATTTTCACAATGAGCAGCTTCTAGTTATTTTGTAAATTGTCCATAATCTTTGCTCATTTTCTTAGATTGTTTTTGTTTTACTAAATGGTATGCTTTCTGAATTTGTATTAAACTTCTTTTCTATTTTCTATGTTGTGTAGTGAATTTTTCTCCCATTTTGTCATTTGTCTTTTGATGTCTGTAGTGCCGTTAGCCATGCAGACGTTTTGTCTTTTATCTAGTCAAATCCATCATTTTTTCTTCTAGGCTTTTCAGTGTCTTATATTCCTTAGGAATAACTCCCTTATTCTTTATGTAGCAAAATCTCTAGTAATTAATATTTTATGTAGTAAAATCTCTAGTAGTTAAATACATAGAAACAGGGCTTGTCTGTTTCTAATGTCATCATATTTTTAACATAAAAAATGTTATATCAAGATAGTTGTAGATTTACATGCAGTTGTAGTGAACAATACAGAAAGATCCCTGTGCCTTTTACCTAGTTTCTCCCAGCGGTAACATCTTACAAAACTATAATACAGTGTCACAACCAAGAGTTGACATTGATACAGTGGAGATACATAATACTGCTATTACTTCAGGAATCATTCCTGTTACCTTTTTATAGCCACACCCACTTCTCTCCAACCCCACACTTTCCTTAAACCCTGGCAGCCATTATTTAGTTCTCCATTTCTATAATTTTATAATTTCAAGAGGAATCATACAATATGTAACCTTTTGGGTCTGGCTTTTATCATTCAGCATAATTCTCTGGAGATTCATCCAGGTTGTTGCCTGTATCAATAGTGTGTTCCTACCTACTGTTTACTATTCCATGGTGTGGATGTACCAAATTTTGTGTAACCATCTACTTCATAAAGGACATCTAGTTCTTTCTAGTTTTTGGCTATTAGAAATAAAGCTGTTTTAAATTTTTTGTGTACAAGTTTTTGTGTGCACATAAGTCTTCATTTCTTCATTTTTATGGGATAGCAGTTGTTGGGTCATATGGTAGTTGCATGTTTGTTTGTTTATTTATTTATTTTAAAGAAACCGCCAGACTGTTTTTCATGTTACAGCCCATTAGCATTACGTGAGTGATTCGGTTTCTCTACATCCTTATCAGCATTTGATGCTGTCACTAGTTTTCTTTCTATTTCTTCTAATAGTAATCTCATTGTGATTTTAATTTGCATTTTCTAATGACTTATGATGTTGAATATCTTTTCAAATGCGGATTTGCCACCTGCATATCATTTTCAGTGAAACATCTGTTTATATTTTTTAATCTTTTTTCAAATTGGATATTTTTTTCTGTTGTTGAGTTTTGAGAATTCTTCCTATATTCTAGGTATCAGTTTGTTGTTGAATATGTGGTTTTCAAATATCTTTCACCCTGTAGGTTTCCTAAAATGTTATCCTCATAATAGGGTGTTTTTTTTTTTTTTTTTGCAGAAAAAAGTCTTAAATTTTGGTGAAGCTCAATTTATTAATAGTTCCTTTTATGGGTTGTGTTTTTGATGACAAGTATGTGATCTCTTTGCCTGGTCCTAGATCTCTAATATTTTATATTTTTTTCTGAAAGTTTTACTTTTACAAATAATTTCATGATCCATTTTGAATTAATTTTTGTATAAAGTATGAAAAACTTGGGTCAAGGTTCACTTTTTTCACTATGGATGTCCAATAGTTCCAGTGTTATTTGTTGAAAAGGCTATCTTTCCTTTATTGAATTGCTTTTGTTCATTTGTCAAAAATCAGCTGTTTGCAGTGGCTTGGTCTGTAATCGCAGCACTTTGGGAGGCAGAAGTGAGAGGATTACCTGAGCCCAGGGGTTCAAGACTAGCTCGTGCAACTTGATGAGACCTTGTCTCTACAACAAATTTTAAAACAATTAGCCAGGTGTGGTGGTATGCACTTGTAGTTCCAGCTACTTGGGAAGCTGATGTGGAAGGTTTGCCTGAATCCAGCAGGTTAAGGCTGTGGTAACTGTGATCATGCCACTGCAATCCAGTCTGGGTGACAGAGTGAGACCCTGACTAAAAAAAAAAAATCATTTGTGCAGATTTTATGTGGGTCTATTTCTGGCTTCTTTGTTCTATTCCTTAGATCTATGTGCTGTTTCCTCTGCCAGTACCACATAGTCTTGATTATTGTTGCCATGTAATAAATTCTGAAGTAAAGTAGGTTTGTTTCTTTTCTTTTATTCTTCTTTTTCCAAAATTGTTTTAGCTATTCCAGTTTTTGTCTTTCCACATACATTTTAAAAAAAACTTAGCCGGGCTCAGTGGCTCAGCCTGTAATCCCATGCCTTTGGGAGGCTGAGGTGAGTGGATTGCCTGAGCCTGCGGGCTCGAGACCTGCCTGGGAAGCAAGACCACATCTCTACAATAAATCAAAAAATCAGCCGGGCATGGTAGCGCGCGCCTGTAGTTCCAGTTACTTGGAAGGCTGAGGCGGAAGGATTGCTGGAGCCCAGAGGGTCGAGACTGCGGTGGCCAGGAGCGGCCACTGCACTCCAGTCTGAGTGACAGAGTGAGACTCCAACTCAAAAACAGTAACAAAAAACAAAACAAAACAAAACAAAACAAAAAACTTGTCTGCATCTACAAAAAATTTCCTGAGATTTTTAAAAGACCTGTGTTAGACTTATATACCTATTTGGGAGGAATTGACATCTTTACTATGTTGAATCTTCCATTCCATGAATGCAATATGTCTGTGTCCCATTTATTTAGATCTTCTTTGATCTTTTTCATTAATGTTGTATAGTTTTCCACATACAAGTCCTGTCTGTGTTTAATTAGATTTACAGCTAAGTATTTCTCTCTTTTTTTGAGTTATTGTGAATGTTATCATATTTTTAATTTCAGTATTCATGAGTTCTTTGCTAGTATATAACAATAAAATTTAGTTTTGTATATTTATCTAGCATCCTGCAACCTTACTGGACTTATTAGTTTTAAGAGTTTTTTTTTCAACCAATGTGTTAGGATTTTTTACCTAGACGGTCTGTAAGTAGGAACAATAATTTTATTTCTTACTTTCCAATATGTATGCCTTTTCTTTTCTTTTTTCTTTCTTTTTCTTTTTTGTCTTTTTTCATTGGCTAGAACTTCTAGCACTGTGTTGAATAAGAGTGGTGAGAGTGGACATCCTTGCTTTGTCCCTGATCTTAGAAGGAAAGTATTCAGTCTTTCACTATTAAGTAAAGGTTCACTATAGATTTTTTGTTTGTTTTCCTAGAAACTCTGTAGTAGTAAGTGAGTAAGTTCCATCTATTATTTTTTTTTCTGGAATTTTTTTTAAACACAGAAATAAGTGTATTAATTGATTGATATAATCATGTGATTTTTCTTGTTTAGCCTGTTAATATGGTAGATTACATTGACTGCTTTTCAAATGTTAACCTGGGTTTACATTCCTGGAATAAATTACACCTTGTGTATAATTTTTTCATGGTATGTAGTTATTTTTGTATACTCTTGAATTTTTTTGTCATTATTTTGTTAAGTATTTTTGCATCTATATTCACAAAGGGCATTGACTAATAGTTTCCTTTTTTGTACCATTTTGATCTGGATTCAGCAACAGAGTAACATTAATTTCACAGAATAAATTGGAAATATTTCCCTCTCCTATTGTCTGGAAAAGATTGTGTAGAACTGGTGTTAATTCTTTAAGTGTTTAGTAGAATTCTCCACTGAAATTATCTGAGCCTGAAGATTTCTTTTTGGCAGTTTTACAGATCACAAATTCAGTTGTCTTAATAGTTATAGGCCATCAAATTATCTATTTTATATTGGTTGAGCGGTTGTAGTTTGTGATTTTGAAGGAATTGGTCCATGTTGAAGTTGTCAAATTTATGTGTATAGATTTGTTCATATTACTCCCTATTATCCTTTGGTGTCTGTAGGATCTGTAGTGATAACCCCTCTTTCATTTCTAATATTGGTAATTTTTTGTCTTTATTTTCTTTGTCAATCATTCTAAAGGTTTACCATTGTATTTACTCTTTAAAGTACCAGCTTTTTTGTTTTATTGGCTTTTGGTATTATTTTTCTATTTTCAATTTAATTGAATTCTGCTCTTATTTTTGTTGTTTCATCTTTCTGCTTGCTTTATGGTGATTTTGCTCTTTTTGTCCTCCTAAGTTCTTGAGGGAGGAGATTATATTATCTATTTGAGCCGTTTTCTCACTTTTATTATATGTATTTGGTGCTATAAATTTCCCTTTCATCACTACTGTAGCTGTGTCCCACAAATTTTGATATGCGATATTTTAATTTTTCACTTGATATATTTTTAAAATTTTCTTTGTTCTTTTCAGAACGCTTGGTGAGAGGTGGAGGAGCAGTGGCTGCCCGAGCTGCCCACAGCTGTGTTCTCCTTCCTGCTGCCCCACGCTGGCCTCAGCCTGATCACTGGCTGTAGAAAATGGTGAAAGAAACCACTTGCTATGATGTTTTGGGGGTCAAACCCAATGCCACTCATGACGAATTGAAAAAGGCTTATAGGAAACTGGCCTTGAAGTACCATCCTGATAAGAATCCAAATGAAGGAGAGAAGTTTAAACAGATTTCTCAAGCTTATGAAGTTCTCTCTGATGCAAAGGAAAGGGAATTATATGACAAAGGAGGAGAACAGGCAATTAAAGAGGGTGGAGCAGGTGGAGGTTTTGGCTCTCCCATGGACATCTTTGATATGTTTTCTGGAGGAGGAGGAAGGATGCAGAGAGAAAGAAGAGGTAAGGATGTCATGCATCAGCTTTCAGTAACCTTAGAAGATTTATATAATGGTACAACAAGAAAACTGGCTCTGCAAAAGAATGTGATTTGTGACAAATGTGAAGGCAGAGGTGGTAAGAAAGGAGTGGTAGAGTGCTGTCCCAATTGCTGAGGTACTGGAATGCAAATAAGAATTCATCAGATAGGACCTGGAATGGTTCAGCAAGTTCAATCTGTGTGCATGGAGTGCCAGGGTCATGGGGAACGGATCAGTCCTAAAGATAGATGTAAAAGCTGCAATGGGAGGAAGATAGGAAGAAGAAGATCCTAAAAGTTCATATTGACAAAGGCAATATATATATTTATATGGATGGTGGTATATATATATATCTTGACCAATCCTGGTTATTTTTTCCCTTCTCTTTGGACCATGATAAGCCTCTGAGTAGTGACTTCCAAAGCTTGGGTAACTTAAAAATTTAAAGTGAAGAGAAATTCACATGAAGTAATTTTCTTGCACAATATAGGAAGGTGTTCCTTAGGTATGTTATAGGCTTACTTTTAACCATGCTCCAACGTAACTTCAATTTAATGTTGGTAGGATAGCAAACTATGAGTAGCTTTAATTCTGTGTTTAAAAATCTCATCATATGTTTATGCTTAAATCTGGACATCAGAATTTAAGTAATTCTTGAAATGTATGACTGTCTCCTTAATATATTGAATACAAAGCAAAAAAATTTTTTTTTCTTTGATAATTCTTTTTTGATCCATGGATTATTTAGAAGTGTACTGTTTAGTTTTCAAGTGTTTGAAGAGTTTCCTGTTATCTTTCTGTTATTATGTCTAGTTTCATACCATGTAGTCAAAGAAAACATACCAAATGGTTCAAATTATTTTTAATTTTTGAGTTGGAGTCTCACTCTGTCACCCAGGCTGGAGTGCAGTGGCATGCTCATGGCCACCCTAGTGTTGACCTGCTGGGCTCAGGTAATCCTTCTGCCTAAATCTTCCAAGTAGCCAGAACTACAGACGTGCACTACCATGCCTGGCTAATTGTTTTGATTTACTGCAGAGATGAGGTCTCACCAACTTGCTCAGGCTTTTCTTAAACCCATGGGTTCAGGCAATCCTTTCACCTCAGTCTCCCTAAGTGCTGGCTTTACAAACTTGAGCCACCACACCTGACCATGGGTTCAGTTTTTTAAAAACTTGTAGAGGTTTGTTCTATGGTCCAGGATATGGTGTCTATTGGTATGTGCTCTGTGGGTACTTTAAAAAAGTGTGTATTTTGCTGTTGCTGGTTGAGAAGTTCTACAAATGTTGATTCAATTCTGTTTGTTGATGATGTTGTTGAGTTCTCTTATATTCTTGCTAATTTTCTGTATACTAGTTCTACGAACTATTGAAAGAGCATTGTTGAAGTCTCTGACCATGATCGCAATTTTGTTTATTTCTCCTTTCAGTTCTGCTATATTTTATAGCTCTGTTCTTTGGTGTGTATACATTTAGGATTGTTATGTCTACTTGATGGATTGATTCTTTATCATTATAGGATATCTATCTTTGTTTCTGGCAATTTTCTTTGCTCTGGAGTCTATTGTGTCTGATATTAATATAGTCACTTCTGCTTTCCTTCAATTAATGCCTGCATGATATGTCTTTTCCATTGTTTTACTTTCATACTGCCTCAGTAATTATATTTGACGTGTACTTCTTTCAGAGAGCATATAATTAGTTCATATTTTAAAAATCTACTTTGCCAATCTCTGTCTTTTGATAGTACATTTGTACCATTTATATGTAGTTATTAATGTTAGGGTTTATTTTCCATTTTATTTTTTATTTATTCTCTTTGTTTCAAATTTCTATTTTATCATTTTCTGCCTTCCTTTGTTTACTTGAACATTTTTTAGAATTTCCTTTTTATTTAATCACAGTGTTTTTGAGTGCATCTCTTTGTATAGTTTTTTTAGTGGTGTTCCTAGGTATTGCATTATATAAATATAACTTATCACAGTCTATTGATGTCAACAGTTTACCAGTTTGAGTGAAGTATGGAAACCTTACCTGTGTTTATGTCCTTTCATTTTCTCTAATATATAATTGTCTTAAATATTTCCTCCTTATACATTTAGAACTAGATCAAACAGTGTTATAAATTTTGCTTCAATTATCAAACCTAATTTAGAAAACTCGAGAAGGAGGACCTATTATGCTTACCAGAACTTTTGCTTATTGCATTCTTCCTTCCTTTTGTTCCAATATTCCTCAATTTATTACTTACTTTCTGTTTGGAGAAATTCCTTCAGTCATTTTTTTGAGCATTGGTGACAATTGTTTTGATTTTCCTTCATCTGAGAATGAGAAAGAAAAGAATGATTTCACTGGGTAAAGGATTCTGGGTTGACAATTCTTTTCTTTCAGCACTTGAAAAATATGATACCACTTCCTGCTAAGTTCTGTGATTGTGATGAAAAGCCCATAGTTATTTGAATTGTCATTCTCTCTTTATATATATCTCTATCCATATATCTATATCTATATCTATATCTATATTTTTTTGAGCTAGTGTTTCATTCTTTGCTCTGGAGTCTATTTTGTCTGATATTAATATAGTCATTTCTGCTTTCCTTCAATTAATGCTTGAATGATATGTCTTTTTCCATTGTTTTACTTTCATACTGCCTTGGTAATTATATTTGAAGTATATTTCTTTCAGAGAGCATATAATTAGGTCATATTTTAAAAACCCAGGCCGAAGTGCAGTGCATAGTTCATTGCGGCCTCAAACTCCTGAGCTCAAATGATCATCCCACATCAGCCTCCCAAGTAGCTGAGACTGCAGGTGCATACCACCATGCCTGGCTAATTTTTGTATTTTTTGTAGAGATAGGATCCTGCTTTCTTGCTTAGGCTAGACTTGAACTTCTGGCATCAAGTCATCTTCCCACCTCAACCTCCCAAAGTGCTGAGATTACATATGTAAGCCACTGCACTAGGCCAATTTTTTGTTTTTGATTCAGAAATTTAATTATGATGTGTCCTGGCATGCATTTCTCTGGCTTAATTCTTCTTGGGATTTACACAGCTTCTTCAATCTATATGTTTACAACTCTTACTTTGAGAAGTTTTTTAGCCATTATCTCTTTGAGTACTTTTCCAGTCATTTCTCTTTTTACTTTCCTCTGAGACTTGAACGGCATGAAAATTTGGCCTTGTTTTGTAGCTCCTCAGGTCTTGCTCTATTTTAAAAAAAACCTATTTTCTATTTGTTGTTTGACTGAGTAAATTCTATTCATTTTTCCTATTTCCTGGTTCTTTCTTCTGTCCTCTTCATTCTGTTAATCCCAATCATCATTTTTTTCTTAATGTATTTTCCAGTTCTGAAATTCTCTTTCAGTTCTTCTTTACATTGTAACTTTTTTCCTAAGACTTTCTAATTTTCCATTTATTTCAATTGCTTGATGAGTCATTTTTGTGATGGATGCCTTAACATTTTCAACAGGTAATTCTAATTCTAACATCTTTTTCATCTAGATGTCAGCATATATGATTGTTTCCATTTAGTTTGAGAAACCCTGGGTCTTGGTGTGACTAGAAATTCTTTTTAGAAACCTAGATATGCTTATGTTTCTATATTTTGTTATGAAATCATCTGTTTCAGCTGGTTCTTTCTGACAGTGTCTGGCAGGGAAAGTGGGAGGCAACACCTGCTTACTACCAAGTAGAAATAGACGTTCAGGTTTCTCATTCAGCCTCTGTTGACAGGTGAAGTTCAGGGAACTCCTCATTAGTGCTTGGTGGGAGTGGGAGTTCTGGCTCCTTATGTGGTCTTCACTGACACTACCGTAGATGGGAAAGTACTAGCTGGTGGGGATGAAAGTCTGTGTTCTAGTGAGTGAGACCAGTAACTAAACCAATAAATGTACACTGCGTCAGGAAATGATGAGAGCTGATATTACTTCCTTAGTCATGCAGGAGGGAGGATGAAGGGTGGGGCAATGGAGGTGTTGCATCCATAGGGGCCCATGGACAGCTCTGGACAGATGACTTTGGTACATGATCTGAAGGAAGTGAGCAAGAAGTGTGTCACTAGGTGAGAAACAATATTCCAGGCCAGGTCCTGATACAAGACATAGACAGCAAAAACCTCAAGGTGTTCCCAGGCAATTCCAACCTGCCTGTCTTCATTCTCAGCTGTGGGATAGTTCTGTGCTTTCAGAGTCACTTCCCACCCATGGTGTCCACTGAAGGCCATGCCCTGCTTCTTTCTGCTTTCTGCTTTGGGCTTTCATGAGGCCAGGAGGGCTGGGCTCAAGTGAAGACTGGAGGCTCAGGAAGGTAAAGCTGGCAACCCTTGAAATCATGTCCCCCTAATGGGCAATTGAAAACTTTTTGGAGGTTTCAGTAGCTGCAGCCATCGGTGACCCCTGTGTTGGCTTTCTTTCCCCTCTCACTCTTGCCTCCTGGCATGGCCTTCTGAATCAGCTACCTGCCCCCAAGTCCTTGTCTCAGCTTTGGGAGAACAACATGCTCAGTGAGTTCCAAGAGCCGCCAGGAGGTCTGAGTTCCTGAGTGTGGGGCTTTGGAGGGGTCTAGGGAAATGAGGTGACAGGGCAGCAGGGTAGGTCCCATGGGATAATGAAGGCCACCATAGAGATAGTGGGTTTTCCTTAGAGGAATCCAGGGGGAGTCAGGGGAGAGTGATGGGAGGAGTTCACGACCAGCTTTTACTTTCTCAGGATCATTGCATTGAAAATCGTGAGCAGGGGAAGTGCAGAAGGAAGTGCAGTGGGGCAGATGAGGGCTGCTGGGAGGTTGGGACCCCAGGTGGGGCTGGAGGGTAGAAAGAGGGACTCTGGGAAACTTAGAATAAACTTAGTTCACATTTTGCCTCAGCATGGTCATTTTTGTTTAGACTGACACTCTTTGAATCTAGCACAGGTTAGACATAGATGAATTTCCAATAGGCAGGTTTTAGGAAGCATTCAGACATTTTACTGCAGGCCAAGCTGTTACAGCCTACCCTACCCCCTCAGCAAATCTCCATCAGCTGCAAGACAAGGACAGCCCAACCTTTCAATTCATAGGTCAGCATACTATCTTTAAGAAACTTTTAGGTTCCTGGAGGTGGAAGGTCAAAGATGACCCCTTAGTTGGCTGAAGCCATAGGAATGAAAATAAGACCACATTTTGCTAAGGAGTTTGTGGACTGGAAACATCTGACAGGTCTCTTGCAGGAAAACCCCTCCTCTTGTCTCCTCTCATCTAGCTTACCACCATGACAGCAATCATGTGACCAACCCACCCATTTGCCTGCTGTCCATTACCTGATGTCAGTACCTG